TTTCCCTTTCAAAAGTTATTGATTTAGTTCTGGGGGAAGTCAAGCAGGACAGGGAGGTCAATATATTGGCTTACACTGCACACTGTATGTTCAAGCTTGCTAAAACTACATCTAAATGTTTCTACTTTACTGCATCACAAATTGTTTCATGTGTGCTCAAGTTTTACTCATGTTTAACTATGACATTGTCTGCTTAAACCTCAAGGAGCCGCCAGTAGTTGACCAGCCAATTGTTCACTCTGTCCTCCCTCTTACTGTCTCTCTTTCTGTCTCTGATCACAGAAAGCTCTCCTTTTCCAGACCAGCTGAACACAGCTCATTGTTACTCCACTGCAAAAGTCCTGTCTGATGGCTGTTTTGGCACAGGAGGCCCTTTATGTGTATGACAAGTGCTGGGTGTGTAGAGATTGGGCATAATCATGGGGAAGCTGAAGCACTCATGGACCCTTGAAAGGCACTTTATGTGTGTATTTGTGGCTACGATAATTGGGCCCCTCCCTTTTGTAAGATGACCCATTTGACAAGGCCTGTGGCAGTACGCTTGTACTGATAGCTGTATGTGTGTGCGACTAGCAGATGATATGTGTGGTTCACATGTTGCTATGATCTCTGAAACCCAGGCTTCATGTTGGACACGGTCCCCTGGTTTGGATTTGTCCTCCATTACCAAAGCCAGCTGGCTGGTGGCACACAACTGCGTGTCACTTACATCCAACCACGAGTTTTTTTCTTGTGTAGTTCAATCACTGACCACTGAGGGGAGCTCTTGTGTTATTCTGCTCTTCCTTGTTTCAATTACTTTGTTGCCATACGTAACACACACACTGGCACATATGTACAGGACACTGGGACATACACACACATGCAGGCAAACACACACACACACTCCACAGTGGTTGTTTGGTCAGATAGAGGAGCAGTGACGGGAGGGCAGAGGGTCACCAAGGGTATCTGGCCCATGGTGGAAGCAACTGGTAAAACACCCCTCTTCTCCTGTTTCCATAATAAGTGCGATGGTTTGATTTCTGCACAAAAGGAGCAATTACAGGGAGTTGTTTAACCACCCACCACTTTTATTGAGCACAGTGTCTCTTAACCTCCGTCGTTGGCAGCAGAAGGCAACAGGAGTGACAGAGAAGGTTGGTGGTTTAACGGGGCGCAAAGGGGTCTCATTTGACTTAAGACTTTGCAGGCTACTCTACACACTGTGGAGGCCCCTGGGACAGAGACGAAGAGGTAAATGAGACCAGCAGACATCCTGGCCAGCCAGGCAGAGAGATAGATGGACCTAACAGAGAGACCGAGACTAGAGGGCAGAGTTTGGGGGACACCTCAGAATCAAAATCACTTTAAGTAGTAGGATAAAAGTAGGTAGGATAAATGTGTAGGAGAGTCACTTGGTTGTGTTTATGCAGTGATGTAGTGACAATTTTTACAGTGACACACACACAAAAAGATTATTTGGATAGATGAGAATGTATGCAACCAGTGGTGCACCCAGTGTCTAATAATTTTAGAAAGAAATGCTTAAAATAAATTTCAGTATTAAAAAAGCACAGATGTGATTCCTGACCCTTACAAGCTGTGTAGCAGTGTTGCAAGGACTTATGTGGACACTGAGAGTGCAGGAGTGGCATACAGATTTTTTTTTTTTTAAACAAAGACAGGAAGAAAGAAGAAAAACAACAGAATTCGATTTTCCTACTTTACAGTCATCCTGGAGCCACAGTAATCCCAAACTTCCATTCAAAACAGTACCAAGCACTGTCGGTGTCAATGCGTTTTTATTGAATTTTCAGTCTGGGTGTTACTCTGTATTTGTGTGCATATGGAGTACCTCCTCCTCCCTGGATATGAATGATGGAGTACAAGTCCTTGTCTAGGCCCTCTGAGATGGCAAGGATGGTGGTGTGAGGCGAAAAAGGTGAGGAGGGTGGCAATGGATGGAAAAGCTGGTGGTAGTGGTGTTTGGGGAGGGGGGTATTTTTGAAATGGCACACAGTGGGAAAGAACAGCACCACTGTGTGGTGATCAAGGGGACAGGGTTATGTGTGTGTGTGTGTGTGTGTGTGGAGGGATGGTGGAGAAGAAGAGGGTAGGAAGAGATAGAAGAGCATTGGAGAGGGGTGGGGTGGGGGGTACACCATCGCTGCTCATAAAGCCAACAGCTGTGTGGGTAATGTTTTGTGACACCAAGCCTCTCGGAGCCCTTCTGTTTCCCAGAGAGCTAGGAGACGCCATATTCCGTCGTCACAAATGGCTCTGTCATTCACCCCCTAAGTCTTAATTATCGCTCCCGGTTTTTTGGCCACGTTTTGCTCAGGCGTATGGATCCATCTGCATGCTGTATAATTCCACTCCGCAATTTACAAGTGGCATTTATTACAATGGCCTCTGTGGCATCTCCTCTTTAACACCGGCAGCCCTTTCCAGAAAGACGAGGGAGAACAAAAGAGCAGTGCAATCTGGCAGCAACAGTGCCCACCCTCAGTTCCCTCAAATCTCTCTCTTGTTTTTTTTCCTTTTTTTTCCCATCTGTACCCATGCTCTCTGTGCGACTATCTTTCTCCACCCCCGTACTACAAAATTTTCCGCTTCTATTTGTGTGTGTGTGTGTGTTTTCCCTTTGTTATTAATTTAATTTTTATGGGATTCACAGTACTCGCACAAACCGCCCCCTATCTACCTCAAAGCAGAGGAAAAGGAAATAGCTGATGTTGATTTTTTTTCCTCCTCTCCTCCCTTTGTAATTCATTTTGGATTAATTCCCCTGTCTTCAGAGACAATCCTAATTCTTTATTATTTCCACTTCACAGGTTTGATGACATCCCATATCCACATATCACATCCTGGGGAAACTTTACACCCAGCAGACCTTCTTGTTTTCTCCTTTCTTTTCCTGTCTCTGCTCCTTTCTCACTTACACCCTCCCTTAATTTTCTCTCTCGCTTTCTCTGTGATGTTCCTGTGTTTTTTGCTGGTTTTTTTTCCTCTACATCCTCCCCGCTCTGTGTTTCTCACCAAGATACTTGTTAGTTTCTACCGAGCCGTTGGGCTCCCATCTATAGAGACAAGAACAGAAGTCGGCTGCTTGTTTCATGCACACACCTTCCCACCTCCGTCAGTCAATATCACAATGTGTGCGTATGTACTGTGCATGTCATGTCAGCTCATTTCTCCCTATTCATATGGGAACAAAATGACACTGAGCGTTCATTGCCATTGAAGTGCAACTGGAAAAAAAACTACCTCATTTGTCACTTGTCTTCCTCTGCTCATGCAGAAATGCACAGTGCTTCTCGGTGACTCCCTCAAAGACTACCTTGTCAATTTCCTCTGCTATTAGAAATGCTCATTGGCAGATGGACACTCATAATACAGGAGCTCTCCATCTTTATTTCTTACTTTTCTTTCTTTCTTTCTTGTGGACTCTTTTTCCTCCACTGTCCCTCTGTTTCTTTTATGTTCTCTGCTTCTGCATTTCACTATCTCAGAATCTTCTCCTCCCTGTATTTTCCTCTGTGCTCTTCTATTCACCTGTATCTATCTGTTGCTCTGTCTTTATTTGTTTCTGCTTTGTAATGCTTTGTTTTATTCAGGGTTTTTTTCTTTCTCATCTAAAGGGGCTTCTCCAAACAGCCTTCTTCAGATTTTTAGTGACCATTTTCACAGCTGCCATGTGCACGCTCCTTTGTCCCACACCTACCATGCTTTCACACACACTCACACACACAAACACACATGCAATGTCCCATCTCCAATTCACTATTAAGTGGGCCCCGAATTTCCCCTGAGCTCTGGTATGGTGGCGGCCGCCTCTGGAGTCCGGCCGTGTTAGATGCGTTGTCTGCTCCCTTACCATTCAATTACCCTCCTGTGATCTGACAGGCTCCTCGTGGCCTGCACTGGGACAATCACCAGTGTGTGTGTGTGTGTCTGGTGTGTGAGTGTGCCTCTTTCTCTTTCTGTTTGCATTTATATCTGCCTCTGTGAGTGTATTCTTACATTTTAGATGCATGCATAGGCAAAGACATTCTGAATCATCCGCTTTGCTTTTTTGTTTTGTTTTATTTATTTATTTATTTTAACTTTCATTAATTGTTTCACTGAA